TTCCCCAGGCAGGCAAACCTTCCTGAAGGGTCTGTGGGGGACCCTTCCCCCAACCAGTAGGGGAAGCCAGTCTTCTGTGCCCACATCTGCTCTGTTTTGCCTCCTCTATCTTCTCAGTCCTTCAGCCTACTGTTTTGTCACTGGCCTGTGGTGCCCTGTACCCCATTTCACCCCCTGTGTTGGTTAGGTTTAACTGTCAACTTGATACAATCTAGAATCACCTGGGAAGAGAGTCTCAACGAGGAATTATCTAGATTAGGTTGGCCTGTTGGCATGTCTGTGGAGGACTGTCTTGTAGGAAGACCCAGCCCACTGTGGGTAGCACCATTTTAGGGGCTGGGCTCTGGTCTGCATAAGAGTAGAGGAAGCTAGCTGAGTATTAAGCAAGAAGCCAGTGTTGTTTATCCTCGCTTCTCTTGACTGTGGATGTGATGTGACTAGCTCCTTGAGTTCCTGCATTGGCTGATCAGAAATGATGGACTGTGTCTTGGAATTTTAAGTCAAGTAAACCCTTTCTTCCTGTATGTTGCTTTTTGTCAGAATACTTTATTACAGCAAAACAGAAATAAGACTAGAACACCTCTCTCTCAGGTTGCCCTGGAGGGAGCCAAACCTTGCACAAGTAAGAAGCCTAAGATCCCCTCCTGGCCAATCACAGAAAGAACAGAAGTCAACAAAAAGAGGTGTTTTACCCCTCCCCAGGGGAGTGATTGGCATCAGGAAGGAAAGAGCTGTCTTTAAAGCAGGATTTGGGGAGGAAGAAGACCAGCATTCTAGGCTGAGGGAAGGGCAAGTGGAGAAAAGAAAGTGCATGGTAGCCCGTCAGAATGTCTGAACCGGTGTGAGGAGAGCATTGGGGGATAAGAGTGTGGTGAACCCTGATAAGAGGAGGGTCAGGCTATGAAGGGCACTACAGCTGAAGGTCAGGAATTGGGAACTGGAGTCCAACCAGTGGTGGTACAGCAGAGGGCGTGATGCCAATGCACATAGCTTTGTTCTGAGAAAATCAGACGAAGGATGGCAGTAAGCCTAGACTCTGGAGGATCCTGCTATGTGTGGGAGAGCCTTTTGAAAAGGGTATTGAAGAGTTCGTGTGAGAGAGATGCACATGAAGCAAGCTGGGAGTGGAGGAAGGAGAGGGACTGGGAGCACCAGGCCCATAGAAGGCCAGTGATTGTCCTTTGTTCTCGCAGTTAATGGCAGAGCCTGGACTTAATCCATCTTAACACTCAAAGCAGGTGTCCGGTCTGCCATTGAAAGGTGGCTTCTACATCTGTTTTCAGGCACTGTACAGATTCCATTTTAGAAAAGGAGTGAAGCCAAGGGCCTGAGACATCAGTCTCCATCTGGTTGGCAAACAAAAGCAGAAAACTGCAGCATGTGACCAGAGGCCAAGTGAAGGTGCATCAATGCAGTTAAGCATTTGCTGAGTGCATACTACATGCCCTGCCTCTGTCCTGAAGGAGCTCACATCCAGAAAAGCACAGCAGATACAGGAGAGAAACCCCAAAGCAGGTGGACAGATGTGTTGGAATACAGGAACAGGCAAAGATCGACAACAACCAAAGGCAAATGTCTTGACAGCTGAAACTGGTGCCACAACCTTGATGTGAAATCCAGGGTGAGAACCTGGGTGCTGGAATTAGGGTTCAAAGAAGGAAGTGCTTGATGCTACCTCAGATCTTCAGGCCTTTTCTGCTTCTTGACCCTATAGGAATGCTTGGGGTGGGCACAGCCATCAGGCTAACATGGTGCTGGGCAGCTCAGAGAAGCCAGAGTAGCATCATTCCTGGGTCCTTGGCACATGCTTAGAAACAAGTGGAAATGGAATAGTTGATGTGCCTGTGGGTGTGTCAAGGACAGAGCAGGATGGGTAGGGGCTGAGGAAGTGGCACTTTTGACCAGATGCCTGGAAGCTTTTGTGGTGGAGACCCTTGTCTCCAGGGTTTTTGTTACCCACTCCTGGTTTGCTCTTATATCTGAGAGCAGAGAACTGCATCCCGGGTAGGGTTCATTCCCACAGCTCTACCTCGTGGGGCTGCTCATGTGAAGTGGCCGTGCTAGTATCTAGTACATGGAGCAGTAGTGTCCATCACATGAGCCTGCACACTAGGATAACAGCCACATTATGAAAACATGTTCAGGAGCCATAGCCGAGCCCAGCTGGGAGGTAGGAATGTTGTACAATTAGGATGGTCTTTCCAGTTCCACAGGAACTCTGAGCTTTAGGTGAGTTGACAATTGAGACAAGACTAACACACGGGAAACACTCAAAGTGACTTAGCATTTCCTAGGCTCACACTTGACTTCACAAGTTGTGTGCTGCTGCAGTGGGAAGATCTGGGCTTTGAATTCAGTCAAACTCAGGTCATGGGATCTGCTGCTCTCTCTTACTCCATATACATGTCCAGGATCACCATGTTCCAGGAAATGACCAGCTGCATAACTTTTGTGTATGCGACTTTTTTTTTCCCCCTTTGAGACAAGGTCTCACTGTGTAGCCCAGGCTGGCATCAAAGTTGTGATCCACCTGCCTCAGCTTCCTGAATACTGAGATTACAAGAGTGTTTCTCCTAAGTGGTAGATAACTTTACTTAATGGTGCACCTTAGGTCTTAGCAAAAGAACAAGCCAAACCCAAAATCAGCAGATAGAAGTGGAGATTATAAGAACAGTACAAAGAATCAAGGGAACAGAGTAATTAGTTCTTTGAAAAGACAAATGCTTGACAAACCTTTTAAACAAACACACCAAAAGAAAGAGAGGAGACCAATATTAACTATTAGAGATGAAAAGCAAGGGGGGGGCAGTTCCAACAAATATCAACAAAATCCAGAGATCATTAGGGGATACTTTGAAAATGTGTATTCCAAAAAGATGGAAAGGGGCTGGAAAGCTGGCCAGCAGTTACGAGCACAGGCTACTCTTGTAGAGGATCTGGGTTTGGTTCCTAGCACCCACATGGTGGATAACAACCACCTCAAACTGCAGTTCCAGGAGATCTTACATCCTTTTCTGGCTTCCTCAGGCATTGCATGTACACAGTGTACTTGTACTTACATACATGTAGGTAAAACACTCATACATACAAAATAAAGAAATATAACCAAGATGGAAAATCTAGAAGAAATAAATCCAGGACACACATAACCTATCAAAATGAAAAGGTAGAACCACACTTTTAGCTTGATTTTCCTCATCTGGGCAAGTAAAAATAAAATGTACCTATATCCTTGCTGCTTATCACGATTAGCTGAATTAGGTAAGCTGTAAACAATACATTAAGAACATCTGCTCCACATCTGAGCAGAAGGTGGGGGTTACTTTTAGGAAGCCTGAGTTCCCACCCTGACTGGTCTTATTTGGTTGCTAAGACTGGGCAGCCCTGGCCAAGCATGGTGGCACACATCTGCAATTACAGCACTCAGGAAGTGGAGGTGGGAGAGTGACAAGTTTGAGACCAACCTGGGCTACATAGCAAGACTTTGTCTCACAGAAAAAGGAGTGAAAAATAATGATTAGGCAGCCCTGATCCACTTGGTCTAGGGCCTGGATGGTTTTGTCTTCCCCAGAATGCTCAGTGGGCATTCAGGACTCCCATCAACTGGGCAGAGAACACAATGGAAGCAGAAATCTTTTCCCGTACCTGGCCTGGTATCATCTGGGCTGTTTAAGATGGGGAACAGAAGCCACTCAAGTATCTGGTGGTTTGTCTCTTTCTACCCAACATTAACTGCTGATAGCTGAAGGCTGTCCAGATGCCCTGTATGCAGAGGGAACAGGCAAAGATTAGTTTCTCTCCACCATTGAAGAAACTTGGGCTCTATTTTTCCATCACAGATCATTTCCCAGAAGCACCTGCGCTCACTCAGCTCTTCCACTTGAAGGATTTCTCATGAATGACTCCAGATAGCCTACCATTACTCCCACCATGAACCACAAGTTCATCATTAGTCTTTATTACAACAGGCCAGTACTGCTACTAACCCTATTTAGCAGAAAAAGAATGAATTTGCCAAAAGGATATCAGGAGGGTGAGACAGCTGGGCCTGAAGCCAGAATGATACCCCAAACCCTACCCCTAAATCACTCTTAAGAAGCTCAGTGCCAGAGTCTTGATGCCTGCTGTGTAGCTGGCACCCATGCTGCTGCTCCATCAGGGAGACCCACCAGAAGCCACAGTGGCCACCACCTTCCTGGGAAAAACACATGCCTGTGCACACTGCTTCCTTGTGTTTGTCACCTGCAACTCAAAAGTCTTGTCCCTTAGCCCAGTGAACACAATACCACTGGTTCCTAATGCAATTTTTTTATTATCTAAGAAGCTCAGAACTCCCGATGATAGAAAACTTACATTAGAGGATCATGAATTCAAGCACTGAACAGGGGCTAATTCAATGGTAGGGCACTTGCCTAGCATGCACAAGGTCCTGGGTTTGATTGCCAGTGAGGCAAAATTAGTCTGTAGAGAAGAAGAGTCAGGGAGGTAACAGGGGATGACCATAAAGCATTCAGGTCAAAACTTTTAAGATACTGCACAAATGGTGATGAGTGAGAACAGTGATTGTGGAGTTGACTGGAGAGGGATGCAGGAGATGGAAAGATGCTGTATCTTTACATGCCATAGGTATTCAAACAAGGCCTTAGAATACCATATGTTAAGTATATCTCGTTTCTTTCTTGGGGCAAGTTAATAGACTGTACAAACTGCTATGGCGCACAGATTACCCATTTGCAAATCTCACTTCTTTATCTCACATAGAGGAATCAGAGACCCTGAGTGGGAACAGTGGTTTCAACAAGGGTAGAAGTGAATCATGAGGGCCTGTGGCTTCTTAGCCTGGAAGAGACTGGAGCCGGGAGGAGCCGCTCCTGTAAGCAAACTCTTTTTCTTGTTTTTGGAATTCCTTTCCTCCAACAGAGAAGGAGGCGGTCTCCAGGGCCTCTGCCCTGGACAAAAAGTGACACAGTCATCAAATACCTACACGGAGAGCGGAAGAGGACGGAGCTTGTAGCCCTAGGGAGCACCGCCCAGGCGCTCAGATAAATCACTAACACAACTGCACTGACAGCTTGAGGTTGGCACCGAGTGCCAAAGACACAGCCTGCCACGTTCCAGGAAAAGAAATCCGATCTGGTCCAGGCAGACGCGGTGGCGCAAAGTGAAACCCACCTGCGGGGGCGGGAAAGAGCTATTAGCCTTGATGGACCCTCCTCCCCGGGCGGGCCCGGAGGCGCCTACCGGCCGCCTCCCTGCGGGAAGAGGTACGGGTGTCTCTGCTTTACAGGTGAGAAAAATCACTGCTCAGTAGCTTACAGAGCCATTTAAAGCCTGATTTGGAATCCCAAGACCAGTTCCCTAACACCAAGCCCACCCAGAAGCGAGCAGGTCACTCCCGCCCACCACAAAGCACACCTGGCCTACGTTTGGATGTAGGCACTGCCCACGAAAGGGAACCGAGGGAGCACTGGGAGCCCGGGTGGGGGTGGGGAGGTGCTGTGGCCAAATCCTGAGCCCAGTGACCGGCCGGGATCTTCCGGACTCACTGAGCCGGGCCCTGCAGCCGGCGCCCGCCCTGATTGGCGCTCACCTGCCACTCCCAGCCAATCCGGGCCTCCAGAATTGGGGCTGCCAGCGCGGGAGGGGGGATGCTGCGGGCTCTACCGAGCTGCCCTCCCCGGGAAGTTCCCGTCCGGCCCGCGGCGATCCCGAGCGGCGTACCCGCCGCCGGCTGCACTCCCCACGCCCCTCGGCGCCCCTCTCGGTGCCCCGGGTGCTTTGATGCTGCGGCTGTGCGGTACCCGCTCCCGGTCTCCGCTCGCTGGGACGCGCCCCGAAGGTGCCCCCGAGCCGTCTGCGCTCGCGGTGCCCTGCTGTCTCCTGAGGTCCTCCCAGTCTCTGCCGGGCCGGTGAAGAGGGTGGGCCTGGTCCGGGCAGCCCCGCCAAGGCAAGATGTTCACGTCCAAGTCCAACTCCGTGTCGCCATCACCGTCCCTGGAACAGACCGACGCGGATGCGCTGGACATCAGCACCAAAGTGCAGCTCTACGGGGTTCTGTGGAAGCGGCCGTTCGGAAGATCGTCGGCCAAGTGGTCCCGGCGGTGAGTGCCTCTCCGTGCCCCAGAGGACTCCGGGGAGGGACCTCCAGGCCTCAGGACCCCTCCCACTCCTCTAGTCACCGTCCTGCCTCAGCCTTCCGCTGTGACCTTGGCCTTTCCAGTTAAAGCTCAGTGCTGTCTTCCTCTGAAAGTTGCGGCTCTTAACTGGGTCCCCAAGAGCTAGGGTGGAACCTCAGGCCTGCAGGTCCGGGGAATTCTCTGTGGAATGAGCTAAGTCCGGCGTCTCGAGGCTGCATGTGGGCTAGAGAGACTGCATTGTGTAGTAGGTCAAGTGGGGCCAGACTGTGCAGAAGCAGCCCCGGGGCTATCCTCTGGAGACCTTCACAGCCAATTCCCAGGCAGGAGTGTCTCCTAGCCATCCAGCCATCTACATCCTCAGCCTTACACAGAATTTGAGCAAGTCAGACCGCTGGTCTTTCTGAGAGAGGAGAGGACCACAAAGCTTCTGTAGGAAGTTGTGTTAGCCACCCCTTCAACTGTGCCTTGATAAATACACATTACTGAAGTTGAATGAAGTTGGAGTTAGAGAGGAGAGAGACAGGTCCTGTCCAAAGAACTGATGTTTGGAGATTCCTGCTGGGGAGAGCCAGGTTAACCTCAGCCCCACGTTCAGCACCAGGTCCCTGGTCTCCAGCTCTGAATGGAGGCTCCACATATCAACAGACACTTTTTATTTATAAATGGACCTGAGAGGTATGGGTGAAGGGGACCCTGGGCTTGCAGGATGTTCACAAAGCTGCCCACAGGTGCAATGGGCCATTTTCTGCAGTGCTTTCACTCTCCAGCCAGCTAGGATTTGCTGCTGGTGTGGCCTAGGAGACTCAGACTTTGTCTTGGCCCCTTCCCAGAAAGTGTGACCCTTCTTGGAAACACAGCCCATCCCACACCATGAATCTGAGTGCCTCAGATGTTTCCAAGACCATAGATCATGTGCATGTGGTAGTTAGTGGTTAGTTCTGATGTTCGATTTTGATGAATAATTTAATATTCCTGTAAGACCTCAGAACAAATGCAGCTGTGGATGGGATTTCACATTTTACAGAGCTGGTTTCATACACTTTTATTACTTCTGGCTGATTTCTCCTGAGGATTTAATGGGATACAGGCCCCATGAGTTCCTCCAAAGTTGAGTTTATCTCTGATGTTTTAAGTGGAGGCTTGGAGCAGTATGAAGGTTATATGAGAAGCTCTCAGTGCTGCATCATCTGAGCTGCAGCCTCTGAGGCCAGAAGCATCCTGTCTCCACCAGGGCACTTGACTACTGGGGGTGGGGGTGGTCACAGGGGAGGGGTTACTTGCAGACTCCTGAGCTGCTACAGGCAGTCTCCTTACTCCATTGTGCCTGACTTCTGTCCCAGGTATTCCTCTGTCATTTAAGGTTTTTCTGGTCAGGCATTTGCACCTGGTGGCATCCAGGGTACCTAGGACCCTCAAGTTAGGGGACCCTGGTTGCTGCATGCATAGTTGATTGGAGGCTGAGAAGTGTCAGGAAAAAGTCTTAGTCAAAAGCATACTGGTGGAGCCCAGGACAGCTTGGATAGCCTTAGCCCTGGGATTGGTGACCTGAGAATCTCCATCAGTAATCTTCTCAGTTACCCTCAAACAAACCAGCCTAAGTCAAAACAGTAAACACAGCTCCAAGTTAAGTTCTCTAGCCCCCTTTGAAAGAGACTGTCACTCCTGTTTTCTTTCTTTCTTAGGAGCTACCACTATACAAAGACTCTCTCTCCTCTGGGGCTCAGAAAACAACCAACATCTCACTACGAGCTCTAGGGAACATCCCTGCCATATACATACACAATTTGCCCTTGAGTCAGCAACAGCCAATCAGAGGTTCTGGGTGTAGGGAAGGCATGATGTTCAGCACAACCTCTTCTTGCTTCCCTCTGGGCTCCATTTTCCTGTTTGTTAAGTGCCGCCCCTGGACCTCTTAGCTAATTAGTGACCACAGGAAGACTTGGGACAGGGCAGTTCAGACCTGCTACTGCAGAGGCTTGCCCTTGGCAATTGATGCCCTTGTGGTAGTTAAGGGGAGGGGGCCTAGAAAGGCTCCTGCTGCACAAATAACCAGTGGGAAGAATGGAACTGGCTGTGGCCAGCTGGGTTCTATAAAACCCCTTCTCTGGGTCTGTCTTAGGAGGAGCCTCCAGCCACTTACCCTACCTCCTTGCTTATACAGCCCTGCCTTTCTCAGTGGGAAGATGCCCTTGAGCTCACTGTCAGTTTTCTTTCCCATGGGCAAGAAGGGGAAAGGAATCCAAGTGTTCATTAGCAGAGAGAAGAGAATTTGGGAGAGCTGTCTAGAGAGTAAGGTGGTAACTGTTCTTGCCTTCCTCTGTAAGCAGCAGAGATGCAGATGCAAAGACCTGGGTGACTCCAGACAAGGGGGTGGGGGTGATGAGGGTTGGAGGGAGGGCCTTGGCCTTAACCAGGGTCAGCAAGAGGTAGATTGGATGTTCGACCTTCTGATACTACCAATGGTGTCATCTAGGACTCCGCTTGCCCTGTCCTTGCTGGGAACCCAGGTCTAACACAGCCACCCATCCATGGGGTAGGTTCCTGCTCCTTTCTTGAGAGCTCTGAGATCAAATCTCTAAATCTTGCTAATCCCCAAGAGGTGCGCATCCCCAAGAGGTGCACAACTCAGGGATTCTGTGTGGGGTGTTGTACAATATAGGCTAAACTGGACTTATCCCTCAGTCTACCCCCAACCTTCTCCACTGTCAAACACCTCCAATCTCTCACACTAGGGCAAGTACCTTCAGAGGGGCTCTTTGCTCCCTGGTTTCTCAAACCTGTCTGTCTCTCTGTCTCTCTCTCTTTTAGGTTTTGTTTTTTTCTTACATTTATGTGTATGTGTGTGTGCCTACTTGTCTGTAGGTGTGTGCCTACTTGTCTGTAGGTATGTGCACACATACCACACCACCTCCTTCCCCAGCTTCAATTTTCCCTCCCCCTGGTCTACACCTGTAAGCATTGAAGAGTTCAATAAAATGAACTGTCTGGGTTCTTCTTTGACCAGATCTGCTTGACACAAAAGGCATCTGTGCTCTGAGTGGCATTTTCCTCAGTTCCCACTGGCTTTCCCATGAGGCCAGTGTTAACAACTCAGAACAAGGTAGAGGGAAGGGAAACCATGCTTAAGAAAACTGTCCTGGGCTCCCTAATTCATTTCAGATGGCACCTGTGTCCATCCCTTCACTCAAGCTGCAGTCCTGATCATGGTGTCATTGTGACTTAACTCATCTTGCCTGGTCTAATTATTCAACGAATCTGCTGATTTTTACTGTCTCACAATTCCAGTTTGCCCCTTGGCCCGCTGTAGATTCCTTGAGACCACCTCCCCAATTCTAAAACCACAAGTTGACCTCCCAGTGCTTGTTTAAAACCCTCTGTGCAGGGAGAACCCTTCTTATTCTCAGTCCCGCTTCTTAGACCTGAACTCTCTGCTCTCCCTCCCCCACACGCTGACCACCCCTTCAGCAGTATTTGTACACAACATAGGAACACGCTGTTCTCTGCATATGTCCTTCTCTGGAAAGCATCCTTCCTCTTCTACCTCTTCCCAATTTCCTAAGACACCTTTCTTTATCCTTTAAAACCCTAATCAGTTTTGATCTCTCAGATGTTGGTCAGGGCCCTTTACCACAGACCCCCCCAACCCCACGGCTGGCATGCTTCTGTTTACAAAAACTTAACCTTGTTACTGTGTGTCCTGGTGCTTTACAGTGTCTCAATATACCCTCTTGGTATACCCTCTTGGTGCTGTGTAACATTGCAATGTACTCCACTAAGTTATGATGTCACAGTATTTCATCCTGGTGCTTTACAGTGCCACTGCATAGCCTCCTGGTGGTTTCTGGGTTGCATCCTATATGCATCCTATATGCTAGTGTGCTAGAGGAATTCCAGTTCTCTCATTTACCCACTGTGTAATCTGGGACATGTTAATTTCTCTGTGCTCCAGTTTCCTCACCTCTCGAACATAAGCAATAAATTAATTAACACAGATAATGCTGTTATACAGACAGTGCCTGGCAAAAAGATAAAGCTTCAGAAACATGAAGTATTTTTTTAAAAAATATTTTATTATTTTTATTTTATGTGTATGGGTGTTATGCCTGCATGTAGGTAAATACACCTGTGTCTTGCAATGCCTGTGGAGGACAGAAGAGGTGGTCAGATCCCCTGGAACTGGACAGTTATTAGCTGCCATGTAGGTGCTGGGAGTCTTCTGCAAGAACAGCCAGTGTTCTTAACTGCTGAGCCATCTCTCCAGCCCTGAAACACGAAGTATTTTAAAACTGTTTCCACATGTTTTCTCCTGCATGAACTCTAAGCTCCTTGAGGGTAAGGACTCATTAAGCTCCAGGAGACTAGCACAGTACTTACCTGGGCTAAGTGCCTCCTTACCACTCTTTGACCTGAGCCTCGTAGGCATTGCAATCATTTTGCAAAGATCAGCTCAAGGGAAACAACTAACTGGTCATGAATGATGAAGAGTCCCAGCAATGCGGAACACAAGCAGCTAAGAGCTTGGGTGAGTCTGTGGCTGGAGAGATGGCTCAGAGGTTAAGAACACTGGTTGTTCTTGCAGAAGACCTGGGTTCAAATCCCAGCACCCACATGGCAGCTAACAACTGTCTGTCACTCCAGTTCCAGGGGATCCGACAGCCTCTTCTGTCCTCAGGCATTGCATGACACGGTGCACTTACCTACATGCAGGCATAACACTCATACACATAAAATAAAAGTAATAAAAAAAATTGGGCTTTGACAGTACAGAGCTCTATTTGTCCCTTTTTAGTTGCTTAATCCATGGTTTCTTTACCAGTGAACTAGAAAAACAAAGCAAACAAAACAACAACCACTTGCCAGGTATGGTGGCACATGCCTGTAATCCCAGCACTTGGGAGGCAGAGGCAGGTGATCTCTGTGAGTTCAAAGCTACCCTGGTCTACAGAGTTCCAGGCTGGCTGGGGCTATAGGGAGATACTGTCTCAAAAAGACAAAAACAAAACAAAACAAAACAAAACAAAACACAAAAAGTCCATCATTAGAGTTGTTGAAATAAGATAATGTCAGTAGGGCCAGGCACGTGGCACACACCTGTAATCCCAGCACTCGGGAGGCAGAGGCAGGTGGATCTCTGTGAGTTCAACGCCAGCCTGGTCTACATAGTGAGTTCCAGGACAGCTGGAGCTACAGGGAGACCCTGTCTCAAAAAGACCAAAAAAAAAAAAAAAGTCAATAAAACACACTGCAAAGTATCTTGATGACTTAAATGCTCTTTCATCTGGAGGTAGAAATGTTCTTTAGGACCAGAGAGGAGGCTGGGGTTATGGCTTGGTTGGTAGAGTACTTGCCTAACATGCATGAAGCTCTGGGGATTCATTGCCTCCCGTCCAGGTGTGTGCTGGCCCTGAATCTAGAGAGCAGCACCCTAGGAAGCAGGAGGAAGGCCTGGTGACCCAATCCCAGCTTGCCTTCGGAGTAGGTATGGGGCTTTGCATGTTATTTCACACCTAAGCCTTTTTTTCCTTGCCTGTAAAATGGGAATGAAAAGCCTGCTTTCCAGTGAATCAAGTTCTCTGATCTATGCAGAACTTGCCACACAGAAGCCAATACGTGAGAATTACAAAGTCAGTGGTGACCATGGCAGCCTTTGTACCGCCAGCCCAGCTCTTCAGGGCCCAAAGGCTGTGACCCCAGTGTTGCAGTCTGAATGAGGGTATTTAGGAACAAAGAGACTTTGGAGGAAGGTGTGAGAAGAAGAGGTGTCCTTCTACTGCAGGGCACTTGGATTCTAGCCTCTCTGCTGCTGAGCAAAAGTCACTAGCTAGAATGGCCATCACTGAGGCAGGTTGAAAAGCAAAGACGTTTGGGGCCTTCAAAGCATGCTTGTCAAATAAGGCATGGTGGGTGGTGCTCATTACTGCCAGATAGGAGCTTGCCTTCTGCCTCTAGGTCTGTGCCAGGTATGCCTGTGTGGTAGTCCATAGTAGCTCTAGCTGGGTCTGCTGAAGTCTGGCCACAGAGCAGAGACTGCCCAAGGCATCTCCCGTGCCTCTACAAGCAAAGAGAGCTAAGTCTTCTTGCCCAAGTAACCCCCACCACCCCCTGCCCCCAAACTGGAAAATAGCAGGTCTGAACTCTTCTCTACACTGTGATGTTCTTTTGCTACAGTCAGGAAACATCTGCCTTTCCCATGGGACTGATATGGTACAGCCCCACCCTCTAGTGGCCCTCTCTGGATAAAGAAGACTTCAGGTGTGGCAGTGGATGTTTAGTGCCAAGCGCAGGAGCCCAGACATCAGTACAGACTGCCCTGGGCACCGAGGATGAGGAAAGTTCTGGCAGTGAAGAGAGATAACAGCAGGTTAGAACATTCCAGGTGGAGCAACTCAGTCTCCATTTGAGTACAGAGATCAGGAAGGGCAGAAGTGGCAGAAAAGCCCAGTGTGGGGTGGGCCCAACTGTTGTGTGGCCCAGAATATCTCTGCAAGTGGTAGTAACTTGCTCTCTCTGCTGGGGGCAGGAAGGCTTCAGGAAGCATTGATGTTTTTGGGTATCACCCCTGAGCAGGGTCCACTAGGCTGCATTTGTTCTGTGGTTGGGCAGAGAGGGCCGCCACAAGTAAAGAAAATGAGTTGAAGCCAGGCACGGTGATACAGGCCTGTAGTCCTAGCTCTTTAGGAGATTGAGATGGGGGTTGGGAGGTAGTTCAAGTCTGTGAGTTCAAGACCATCCTGGGCAACATAGCAAGACCCCCACCCCCAAAATCTCAAAAGAGAAAAAACAAAAGACAAAATTGGTTGGCATGAGACGTGCACCAAAGCACAAAGCTGAGCTGAGCTTTAGTTCCCTCAAGAAAGAGAAGAGAGTTTGCAGCTGCCAGAAATCCCAGGACTGTCCTCCACAGGTCCCCACAGCAGATGAGGGAAGATCATCTGGTTTGTGGTATTATAGGGTCTGATTTGGTTTTTTAATTAAAGATTTATCTTTATTTTTTATTTTTGAATATTTTATTTTCTTTTTTATTTTATGTGTTTGAGTGTATTACCTGCATGTAAGTGCACCTGTGTGGTCCAGTGCCCGTGGAGGTCAGATGAGCGTATTGGATCATCTGGAACTGGAGTTACGGACAGCTGTTAGCTGCCATGTAGGTGCTGGGAATCGAACACAGGGTCCTCTGCAAGAGCAGCCAATGCTCTTAACCACAGAGCCATCTCTCCAGGCCCTATCTTTATTTTTTTAATTATAGGTATAACCACTATCTTTATTGTTTTAATTATAGGTGTATGGGGGCTGGAGAGATGACTCAGCGGAAAGAGCACTCACTGCTCTTGCAGAGGACCTGGCTTCAATTTCTAGTACCCACATGCTGGCTAACAGCTGTCCATAACTCCAGTTCCAGGGGACCCAATGCCCTCTTCTGACCTCCTCAGGCACTGGACCACATGGGTGTGTTACTTGCATGCAGGCAATATACTTATACACATATAATAAAATATTTTATTTATTTTTATTTTACATACATGTGTGGGGTTTGCATGTATGAGTGCAGATACCTTCAGAGGTCAGAAAAGGGTGTCAGATCCCCTGGAACTGGAATTACAGGCAGCTGTGGCCACCTGAAATTGGTCCTGGGAATTTAACTCAGATCCTCTGCAAGAACAGTATGTGCTCTTAACCACAAGCCATCTCTCTAGCCCTTGTTTGACATCTTGATGGCCACCAGCATCTTCTTCTCAAGCTCCTCACAAGAAGATTCAACAAGTGATGCTGGGAATGGTTTAACAACAGGCTCTTGAGGAGGGAGGAAGGAAGGGAGGGCAGTTCTGTGGTATTTAATTTTCACAGTATAAACACTCCCATCGTGATCAGTGTCCTATCACTGAATGCCTAGCAGGTGAGACAGTCATACCATTGGCCATTGTGAGTCGATACTAGCAGGCTCCATTGTTGCTGCTCTGAACCTTCCCCTGTGTGCATATACAGGCATACACACACACACACACACACACACACACACACACGCACACTCAACAACCTGGGACCCCCACCATCTTCTTTTAGGTTCACAGCACAGCAGTGTCCCTGGAGGGGGAGAACTCTGGTGTCTTGGAGCCTTAGGAGCTTTGAGGCCTAATTGGATCTTCCTCTGGAGCATGCTTCATTTCTTACAGCCTCAGTCATTAGTTCTGAAAGAATCCCCAAGGTGGGCCAAGTGTTCCTGTTGGCACTGAGGATTTGCTTCCCAATACCCATAAAACACCATGTCTACTTTGATCCCTAGTTAGACTTGAGTCCCAGAAGGAGGTTATGTGCATTCTAAGACAAAAGGAAATGTATCACCTTGGGGTGTCAGGACTGCAGACCTGGCCTCAGCAGCTGGTACCCAATTCCATTTGATTGCACCAACACACCCATCTTACAAGCACATGTCTTTTTCCCCTTCTCCTACACCTGGCAGAGCCCCTATGTAATTGGAGGTGATCACTTAAGAGGTAAAGGAACCTCAGGAGGACAACAGGTTCCTATTGTGCTGAGGAAGACAGCTCATAGGAAACAGGCAAGGCAACCCTAGAAGCCAGTCATGGGCCCCCCTCTTCACTGCCCTGGTGCATGGGTCATGCAGTCTGAAGGGCAGACTGAGACCTTTGTGCAACGTGCAGTGTGAACTGGTCTCATAGACTCCCATGTGAGTCCACGGCCCTCAAGGTTGCTCTTGTCCCAAGAGAGCTCACTCTTTTTCTCCTCTTACCTTTGTAGGTTTTTCATCATCAAAGAAAGCTTTCTGCTTTATTACTCTGAGAGTGAAAAAAAGAGCTTTGAAACCAACAAATACTTCAATATACATCCTAAGGTGAGGAGGGTCCTTCCCAGGTCCACAGTGAAGGAGGCCCACTGGGGGCATCTGGGGGTTGGAGGGGGGCTGTCTGTTATCTTGCTTTGGCCTACAACGTGGAGAACAAATCCCTTCAGGGCTCAAGACCCCCTCTGGTCTTCTGGGCTAGACACCCATGCACACACACACACACACACACACACACACACACACACACACACATACTTCCTGGACCTCAGAGCCTGCCTCAGCTCCAGCTCTTCTTCCCTCTGGGAATCAGTTCTGGCTTTGGTCTAATACCCCTGGGGTGTGGTCCAGCCTGGGGTTATTGGCTTTCTCTGGGAGCTCCCAGGGACTTTGAGTGATGTGAGTTGGGTGAGGTGGGGCTGCCTGCTCTGCTTCTTTGTCAGGGTGTCATCCCACTGGGTGGCTGCCTGGTAGAGGCCAGAGAAGAGCCCAGTATGCCCTATGCCATGAAGATCTCACACCAGGACTTCCATGTGAGTAGGCCCTTCCCCCAGCCCAGGGTTGGCAGGACAGAGCAGCGTCAACTTGGTTCCCTGGGAACAGCTCTGTGCAATCTGGCCTGGGAGGGCTGCTGTGGCTCAGTTCTGTGGGGTTGGGATAGCAGAACTGGCCTCCCTCTCCCTTGGAGTGGATGCCTCTCACTCTGCCTCCTCTTCCTGGCAGGGGAATGTCTTGCTGGCTGCTGAATCTGAGTTTGAGCAGACACAGTGGCTGGAGATGCTGCAGGAGTCTGGGAAGGTGTAAGTGTCTGCCAGCAGGGCCTCCAAAGGGCCAGGATGAGAGCAGATGGGCTAGGCTGACCCTGAGTCCCTGCCTCTTTGCTGGGTCCTGAGAGAGGGCCGTGGGACTGACTAGAATGTGTGGAAGGAGACAGCTCAGGATTTAGAGCATCTGTGAGGGTCCCCTAAGTGGTAAATTTGAGAAGTGTCTGCAGTGACAGGTGGCAGATGTGGACATCATTTGCCTCCAGTTATTGGGAGTGAGTCCTTTTATTTAGCACCTCAACACATCCATCTCACATCCCCAGACCTGCAATTAACCGTAGTAAGGACCAGAGATAGTGTCCTACAAATCAAGTTTCAAGTAACAGAAACTCCCTGCCTGACACAGTCCATTTGCACCCAAACCTGTGACCTGGCATATACCCATTCAAGCTGATCTACACTTCTGACCCAAACAATAACTGAGTGCCCAGCCTTATGCAAGGTGATAGGCATGAGGTGGTATAGGAAGATGCTAGGAGAGCAATCCTTCTCTGCTCTGCAAGTGCTCTTGGCACATTCCCCATGGCCCACTTTGCAACCTCAGCCTCCTGTTACTATAAGTGATCGATGTTGGTGGTGTACCCAGAGTTCTGGGTGCCAGAGTGAGCTGAGATTCTGGAGGATGGAGGAGGGGCTAGCATGGAACATGTATTTTCTCTCTCTCCCCAACCCTGTCTCCTGGTTTAACCATTTTTGTTTCACCTGTCCTCTCCTCTGTCCCATCCCCCAACCCTCTCCAGGACCTGGAAGAATGCCCAGCTGGGAGAAGCCATGATCAAAAGCCTGGAGGCCCAGGGGCTGCAGTTAGCTAAGGAAAAACAGGAGTATTTAGGTTGGCTACAGGGGTGAACTGAAATCTGAGGTTCCCTGAGGCTGCACTTGGGGCTGGGCCGGGGCGGGGTGGCCTTGTCAAGCGTTCATTGAAGAATCTAGAAATGGACCTAATGTTTTCTTGCCCGGGCCCCAGGTCCTCCACCTGCCCTCCCTTTCACCCCACTAAGCCCACTTTAAACCTGGCCGCAGGGCTCCAGGTTCCTGTGTTCTGTCTGCTAAATATGTTCTGGTTGAGAGAGATGATGAGATGAGGTTGCTTCTCTGTTGGGAAGCCTGCTTAGACACTCAGCCCTGGGTCCCCCTCCACCTATTCCAGGCACACACACACACACACCCTGCCTCTTCAGCAGGACTCTGCCCTCCTCTACTAACGAGGCACTAGTCAAAGTGGGAGGCGGTTACAGAGACCTGGGGCTGCAGAGTCCCACCTGAGCCTCCATGGTTGAGCGCCCCATGGATATATGAATGCACAAAACAGAGACAATGACAGGAAAGGAAGGAGACGGCTTGGGCCAGTGAGGCAGCTTCTATCCTCAGCTTTTATCAGGCCCCAGCCTCTAGTTAGCAGGAGTACTCACCACAAAACAGAGACAATGACAGGAAAGGAAGGAGACGGCTTGGGCCAGTGAAGCAGCTTCTATCCTCAGCTTTCATCAGGCCCCAGCCTCTAGTTAGCAGGAGTACTCAGCTCTTTCCTGGGAGATGGCCTGGATGACAGAGGCCACCTCAGGACCTGCCCCTCAGGACCCCTGAGCTGAGCTTTCAATGAGTGTGTGCTTGCTTTGGCAGACAAGCTGATGGAAGAGACAGAAGAACTGTGTCTTCAGAGGGAGCAGCGAGAGGTAGGCACACGTCAAGACTGCACAGAACACCCCACCTCCCCTCAAAGCTGGCACTAGGGAATGATGTAGGGGGACCAGGCACCCAGAGACTTACCTGAGAGACCTCAGATGGGATGGAGTGGGAAGGTCCCTGAGGTGACAGTGCTGCATCTTGCTGTAGCTTCTTGGTGGGAAGTATATTTCTCCTTGTCAACCCTTGGAAGGAAAGGAAAAAAATGCATGAGTACCTGCTAGAGAAAAAGCCATCCAAACATTTCATAAACTACCTGCTGGCTGATAGCCACAGGAGGCTGTTATGGCCTGGATTATCCGCCAGGGGCTTCTGGTGGGTTTGATGACTTCAGAGATTCCTTCATTTTGCCAGTCAACAGTATAAACCCTGTGGAGGCTCTGCAGTGGCTTAAAGCAGCCTAGAGGTCAAGGAGACTCTACCCTCATGGGAGTCACTGAGGTCCACTTCATTTCCACACCTAAAGGGCAGGGCAGGGTAGTAAGCAGAGGGGACTCTGGAGCCAGGCTACCTCTGATTGTATTTAATCTTAGCATTTCTAGCTATGTGACCCCTGACAAGCTACTTAACCTCTCTAAACAGCAATATTCTCATCTGAAAATGAGAATAATAATAAAACCCATCCTTTTAGAGATATAAAAATTAAACAACATGTTACATGGTAAGCATTTAGCACCTTGTGTATACTTTAATGACTACCTGATTTGTGCTCACATTATTATGGGTCCTTTCTACATGGATGAGGCCTGATATACAGAATGGCTTGCTCAAAGGAGCCTACCTAGAGAGAGACTGACAGTCCACTTCCTTTTGCCCTGTCATTTCTCTTTATCTTCTCCCAGGACATCAGCAGTAACTCAGTACCCAGCCATGACTCAGCTCGGGGACTCTGTTCCTTCCCCAATGCCCTTCATAAGACTCTGAAACATACCCTAAAGTCAACAAGCACAGTGCACTCCTTTGTACCCCAAACCTTCCAAGATCTAGCACAGCACCTGGTCCAAGATCAGAGCATGGTGACTGTGGAATGAATCAAGAATGAGGGCTGGAGAGATGGCTTAGTGCTTAAGAACACTGGCTGCTCTTGCAGAGGACCTGGGTTCTGATCCCAGTACCCGTATGGCACTAACAACTGTCTGTAACACCAGTTCCAGGGGATCCAACCTCCTCTTCTGGCCTCCATGAGTACTGCATGTACGTGGTATACCTATATACATGCACTCATACACATAAAATAAAAATGAGTAAATAGAGGCTGGAGAAATGGCTCAGTGGTGAAAAGCATTGGCTTCTCTTGCAGAGGACCTGGGTTCAGTTCCCAGCACCTACATGGTGGCTAACAATCACCTGTAACTCCAGTTCCAAGGAATCCACAGGCATTGCTTGCACAGGTACACTTACATACATATAGGCAAACACTCATATTCATAAAATAATAGACAAAATTTTAAATTCAAAATTAAGAACAAACAGGTTTGATTCTTACATCTTCACATTACAGTTTAATTTTAATTCACTAGGACAATCTGCCTTCATTTTTCTTCCAAAATTTTACCTGCTATATCCATTTGTTATTCCAACTAAACTTGGGAATTATTTCCTTGATTACACATCAAAAAGTGGGGGAAAAAGGTTGAAGATTTGAATTTGGAGATGTGTTTGAGGACTGGTACCATATCACTGAGCCTCTTCTAGGGTTTGAGCCTCTATGCCTCCAGACTCTCATGTAGGTCCCAAATTAGAGTTTAGGCCTTTTCTCTAGTGTCCTATACATTAGAGTGAGACTTTGGTGTCTTTAAGGACAGATGATTCAGGAAGCCTAGCATGGGATAGAGTAGGAGCCACAGCCCCTGGTGGAGAGAGGAGACACAGCCATCAGAGGTTGAATCTGGGGCGGCAGTTGGCCCAAGGAAAATTTAGACACTCTATCTAGGTCTTAGATGAGAAATTAGGACAATGGAGACTCAGGGCACACAGGCCTCTCTTAATTCCACAGCATCGAAGTGGGACGCTGGCAGCTGTGAGCACTTTTTTTGCTACAAGTAAGGCTCAAGCCCAGCTGCTTGTGCAGTGGAGGCTGCTTGGGAGACAGGCAGCAGGGAGAGAACCACCTCAGGTTCAAATTCCTTATCAGAGGCCTATACTAGGTCAGAAAGAGAGCCCAGATTCTACTCCTGTCTTAACCACAAAGTCATTCTGCCTGTATGTTTCCTTCCTTAGCTTGCTCACTCATAGGGTGGGTTCACCTATCCCCAGTAATTCCCCATCTCCACTCCAGATCAGAGCATTGGGTCACTTAGAAAGGGTACTGTATTCCAGAGACAAGGTGAAGATTGTTACAATGATGTGTGAGGTCTAGGGGAGCCTGTGTGTGAGCCTGACCCACAGGAACCCTCAGGGTCTGGAATTTGGAGACTTGGATTAGAGTCTCAACTTCATCACTGTCTGTGTGACCTTGGGCATGTCACTTGACTTCTCCGAACTTCAGATTCTTCATGGGTAATGCCTGATGAAAGGAATGCCTGCTTCGACTGTCTCTAGGTTGCCATGAGGTTCAATGGACTAGAATTCTGGGAAATACACCCTGTGATCATGCAGCCCTGGTATCTTCCACTGGTCAGAAAAAGATTGGGAGTTTGAGGGTGTACAAAGGGCACAGGAACAAGCTGGGTATGTCTGCCAGGGGCCAGAAAACCATGCTTCCCTGGCACCCCTGGCTCCTTGGTTCCCAGTGGTCTCATCTCTCCCCCTGGAAGAGGGCAGCCTGCCAGCCTTTCCTTTTCTGGTTGAACTCTGGGAGATCATGGTCAGTCTGACAAGTCTTGCCACTGTGGATGCTCCCTGTCAGAACGTAGGCTGGGTAAAAGGAACCACTCAAAATGTAAAGCTCTTTGCTGACACCATGATGAATGTGGCCCTGATTCTGTGATGGGTAACTACTATGGTCAAAGCTCCTCCTTTCATGGAGCTGAAGTTTGCCTTCTAGTGACTTATTTCTACATGTATACTCCTGCAGTTTAGGTCAGGTTCGATAGAGCAGAGCAAGCTCAATATGGTGGAAAAAGACTTTGCTGTGTAATGTCTTAGTTGAAAGCTTAGCCTGTGATAGGGTCACTGAGCTCATACTGTCCTAAGCCATAGGAACAAAAAGCTTTGTCTTGTCAGAAGTGCCTAAGTTGTAGCTCCCACTCTAACTGTATTCTCACACTGCACTGGGCATCAACTTCTTAAGAATCATATAGTCAGGGACTGGAGAGATGGCTCAGCAGTTAAGAGCATAGACTGCTCTTGTAAAACACCTGGGTTCGGTTCTCAGAACCCACATGGCACCTAATAGCCATTTCTAACTCCAGTTCTAGGGGATCTTGTGCCCTCTTCTGACCTCCTCAGGCATTGTCTGATGTGGGTGCACTTACATACATGCAGACAATACACTCATATACATAAAATAAAAATAAGGAAAAATTTTATTTAAAAAATATAGTAGTTGGGTTGGAGAGATGGCTCAGTGATTAAGACCACTGGTTGTTCTTGCAGGTCTGGAGAGATAGCTCAGAGGTTAAGAACTGGTTGTTCTTGCAGAAGACCAGGGTTCGAATCCCAGTACCCACATGGCAGCTAACAACTGTAACGCCAATTCCAGGGGATCTGACAGGCTCTTCTGTCCTCTTCGGGCATTGCACAACATGGGTGCACTTACCTACATGCAGGCAATACACACATACACATAAAATAAAAATAATTAAAAAATAATGTAAATCATATAGTCAGACATAGTGGCATACTCCTATGATTTTAGCTAGTACTTGGGAGTTAGAGGCAGGAGGGAGGACAGTGGTGGTAAATTCAAGGTTAGCCTTGACTATATGAGATCTTGTCTCAAAAAAAAAAAAAAGAATGTGGGCTAGAGAGATGGCCCAGCACACACATGGTAGCTAACAACCGTTAGTTAACTCCAGTTCCAGGGGATCCACTGGCCTCTGCAGGCATTGCATACCATGGGTGTATTCAGCATCAATGCAGGCATTTTTTAAACAAAGATTGAATAAAAGAAGGAAGGGAGGGAGGAAGAGAGCCAGGCTTGGTGGCTCACACCCATAACCCCAGCACTTGGGAGACTGAGGAAGGATTGTCTTCAGTTTAAGGCCAGCCTGGACTGCCAAACAAGTACCAGGCCATCCAGGGCTATATAGTAAAACCCTCCTGTCTCAAGAACAAACAAAAGAGCCATATAGGTAAAATGAAAAGTAGTAAAGAAGTGAGCAGGAAGGGAGGAATTGTTCTCTCTCACTTTTACTGGAGTAGTTTTAGGTTCACAACAGAATCAAGTGGAAAGTACTCTGCTACCCTTACCTTCCCTGCTATTAATGAACCCTACAGCACAGTGGTGTGTGTGTTACAACTGAGAAGCCAACACTGACATTGCTGTTACTCAAAGTTCACAGCATGCCTCAGGGTTTACTCTGGATATAGTGTAGTCTTTGAATTTTGACAAATGTAAAACGGTGTTAATCTACCATTGTAGTCAATGAGGAGTTTCACTACCTTAAAATCCCATGTTCCATGTATTTATCTCTCCCACTAACCCCAGGCAACCAACCACTTGTCTTCTGGTCTTCTTTTTTTTTTTTGGTCTTTTTGAGATAGGGTCACCCTGTAGCCCCAATTGGCCTGGATTCACTGTGGAGACCAAGCTGGTCTCGAACTCACAGAGATCCACCTACCTCTGCCTCCCAAGTGCTGGGATTAAAGGCATGCGCCACCACACCCTGCCTGGTCTTCTTTTTTGGGATCTTTTTTGAGGCATGGTCTCCCTGTAGCCCCAGCTGGCCTGGAACTCACTATGTAGACCAGGCTGGCCTTGAACTCATAGAGATCCGCCTGCCTCTGCCTCCCAAGTGCTGGGACTACAGGCATGCGCCACCATTCTTGGTCTCCAAAGTTTTGCTTTTTTAGATCATCATATAGTTGGAATCATATACTCTGTGGC